CCTGGCTGAGAATAGCCATCCCACGTGTTCTGTCCCCCAGTCTCTGTCTGGCCTGGCTGGGAATCGCCACCCCACCCACCCCACATTCCACCTGTCTGTCCACCTGTCTGTCCACCTGTCTGTCCACCTGTCTGTCCACCTGTCTGTCCACCTGTCTGTCCTCCTGTCTGTCCTCCTGTCTGTCCTCCTGTCTGTCCTCCTGTCTGTCCTCCTGTCTGTCCTCCTGTCTGTCCTCCTGTCTGTCCACCTGTCTGTCCCCCTGTCTGTCCACCTGTCTGTCCCCCACTCTGTCCCCCGCAGTTGAGGTATACGGCTAGCTGATGTTAGCTGAAGGCAGTTAAAACGCGAGAGGAAGAGGTACCATTAGCAAACAGTGCATACGAATCCGCATTGTTCAGCGCATCATTAGTACTCAACGCCGTAGCAGTGCCGTATCCATAGCCCATATCCTCCGTGCCAGGCGGGTACACACCAGGGGCATGGGTGAACTCATGGATGATGGTGGTGGCCTGGTCTTGGCCATGACAGTCATTTGTCACCCCTTGGAGGCTGTAGAAGAGCTCGCAGTTGACGACCTCGTTGGTCGAGGGGAGGGTGTAGGCGAGGACGTTGGAGCCACAGTAGCCGTAGGGGTCGGAGCAGTAGTAGGTGGTTGAACCGGCCCCGTTCGACGAGGCCTCGCTGGCGACGGCTTTAAAGCGCGCGGCGACGTTGCTGCGAACATTGCTAGAGGTTGTCTTGAAGTACTCAGTGAAGAGCGCGGAGGAGCCTGAGGAGGCAGCATCAGCGGCTTTGCTGGCAATTGAGGCGGCGTTGCGGAGGGCTGTATTGAGGGCTTCAGCGCGGTTGCCGGTGCAGGATGAGGTGATCTTTGAGCGGCGGTCGAGGGGCTTGATGCTCGGGCGCACGGCCGCGGCCTTTGCAGCATCAACCTCAAGCTTGAGCTCGTTTGAGGAATAAGGGATATAGCCGGCGATCTTGTTGTTCTTGGTCACGGGAACGAAGCCCTGGGTGTGGACAGTGACGGGACCGCCTTGGGTGAGATTAGCGGTGCTGGCGATGTCAAACTCGTCCTCATAGGTGGCGCCAGGTGCAAGGGTGGTCAGGGCCTCCTTAGAGATGCCATCGCTGCGAAGCCGCTGCTTGATCCCAGTAAACTCGACCTCAGTGGCTTGAACCTCAGGTTAGTGATGTTTCCTCCGGGGGTAGGGGGATTTTTTGGGAAGGGACAGATACCATTGCGGTAGAGGGAAACCTTCTTGACAGGGCTAGAATCATTGAAGAAGTTGAGATGTACAAAGGTGACTTTCTCACTGCCGGTGTTCTTGACCACGGCCTTGATCCGGGTGTGGTTGACCTGGCTCAGGGTGATATCGAGAGCTGGGGCTTTGGCAGGAAGAGCCAGAGCCCCGTGGACGAGGGCCAGAATGGCAGAAGCGAGAGCAGTGACTTTCATGGTGGAGGATTAGATAAAGATGCTATTGCTCTTGCGCTTGCTCTTGTGATATGATGCTGATACTGTCAGATATGCTGGGTCATCCTCATATTTATAGACATCCTGACATTGAAGCAGTCGATATCACGAACAACACCTTGCAATGGAACACGGAGAACGACCAAAACAGGAGGTTACATCGTATCCCGTCTGCAAGGCTTGACTACTGAGGTTAAGACCTCGGTTGTCTGAAGACGTCTCCATGGCGTTTTACCAACCGGCATAACCACTCCACAAGGCTTACTGAAGCATCGCAACGAGCCAGATGAAATGCCGAAGGGGTACGCTTGGCTGGGCCCGTGGGCTGTTGTATTCAAGTAGTTGAGTGCGAGAGTCCAGTCAATCCCTGCCATTATCCCCACCAGCCGGTATAGATGAGGCTATGCTGATTCTTGGCTGCAAGAGATATGTTGAGATGGGCACGCCAAGTGGGTTGGCAGGCCTGGAGATGATGAAGAGGTCGCCTGCGGCCACCGTTTGCCTGATAGAGGAATCTGCGTTGTCTGGTCTGTAGGGTCCATCTTGCTAATTTTTCAGGTCGTATTGCTATGGTATTGACATAAATCACATGCCGACGATGTGGGTTGATCTAGCGCGGGATCTATCGTACGCCCTGTATCTGGTTTCAGACCCTGGATTTAGTGAAACCGAGTGGAGTCGTTTACTAAAGAGTTGTAAGAGAAGTGATACAAGTACTCCGCAGTGAGCCAAGAAAAACGACGACTCATCGATTAAATTGCCAATCATCACATCTTATCAATCCTTTTTATCTCCTTAATATCCGGCTGATACTTGAAGACCTGAAGAGAATGCAATCCAAGACTTCCTGTCTCACCCTCCCATTATTTTATACCAGTCATTTACTGCTGTACAAACCCCTAAAACTTGGCGACTTGATGTCATGTGATGAAGTTTCAGAAAGTGCCTGGATAATCTGCTGCGGGCTCAGTGGTGCATACTTAATAATAGTGCCTAATTCATGGAAGTGTCTCGGAAACCCGTTGTCACCCAAGTGATTGAAGTTTGTGGCGTTTATTCTTTTGAAGGAACACATCAAATCTCCTAGGATGGTTCATCTGTCCAGAATAGATCTTAGAAGACATGTAATATAGCATAATGGGTCAAAGGGGCACTCACCAGTGCAGTTGCGCAGGTAGCATTAGCGGCAAGACAGACAGCAAAAATTTACTCAAGATGGTAAGGCGCATTGAGATGTCAACTATTATAACCAAAGACTATAATAAAAAGGAAGGAAGGTGCAATAGAAATAATGAAGGTATAATCTAGGAGCACTATAGATCTCTCCAACCTCGACACCTGGCAAATACACCAGATAGTCGGAGACCGTCATATGCAACATGCCTATGGGCCCTCCAACAAGTCGACCACAAACCAGCGCCTTAGAACGGGCCGGAGAAAAAGGTATCTACCACCACAACTTTCATGCTCATCGCTAAGGGAAAAGAAATGGACACCTGGATCAGCCCATCTAACTCGTCAAACGTCCGTTACTGCGGTGTAACGGCTACTCTGAACCGTGGCATGGCCAACCTTGTGCCAGTGCCTAAATCACCCAGCGTTCGTGTTGTTGCAGGCCATCTCGAGTGAGGCAGAGATTTGGATCACGTATCTAGTCTTCGTGGTACTGATCCCTGCGACTTGCGCCTCATGGGTGGGTAATGCATTCAACAGTATGGCTCTGATGTGCGTGTTCACCACAGGGGTGGGCAGGTATCGACCTAATACATTCAGGTTATCTTCCATGTCAGAAGAGTCAGCAAGGGCAAGGGCCGCTAGGTGCTGGTCTGGATACAGTTCTTTTCTTTCTTGGTGTACTGCTTGTTCTCTCAAGTTCAGGCCTGTTAAGAGACATTGCCACAACGGCCGAAGGCCGCGTTAGGGTCTGCGCATTTAGGCCCGTCAATCTGCGCCCGCAACGCTTGGGCTTCCCCATGTAGCTTTCCATTCCGGCTCTGGTGTTGATATTGTACCAAGCATTAGTCTTAAAACATGCTGTCCAATGCATTGCGTCGTGTTCAGGGTGTCGCCCATATCCCACAGGAGCATTCGAGCTTTCAGCATGGACAAGTGCCATTTTCCTTCACAACCACTGGTGCCTGTGGCTAATACTGTGCCATATACTTGTTGTTGTGATGGACGCTGCAGTTGGTACTGTAGCAGGTGAATCACATGATCCGGTCGTGCCATGTGTGTCCTCGGAAATGTTGACATAGAAGTCATAGCAGCATTTTCCATGGTATGGCCCTGGTAATCTTTCTTCGATATTCCCCTGAATTCATGGTGATATTCGTTCACCCACTGTCCGCAGTTCATGTTTCCATGAAGTTGGTAAAAGCGGCCCTCTTTCGCTTTGTTGATGTTGGTGGTAAGGCTACGGTGCAGACTCTTCTGAGAACTGTGCCTATCCTAATTGGGGAACAACTTCAAGATGTCCGCAGAAAACGGATCCGCCGGTACCGGCTTCCCATCCTTCAGGTACTGAGTGATGGTGACCGACATGAAGAACAAACTGGCATGGTTAATAGACCATGAACCAGGAGTTCTTGAGGTCAATCCTCTGTTCCTCTATGGATTATGTTGAACATTTCTGGTGGCTGGGTGGTAATTTACGTGTTGATGTTTATTTCTACCGGCTCGATGCCGAACTTCTTGGTCAACAGGTAATTCAGCATCGTGGCCTCAAAGGCCTTGATGGCGGAGATGATCTCTGCGAACACCAATTGATCGGAATGATTGACTTGTCAGATCCCTCGAGCCGAATATTGCTTGCTTAGCGACGCCAGTTCGCTGGGCAGATCGGGCATCAGGGGATTCTTCCAGATTCCCCTTTCAAAGAGCTTCTGAGACTCCGCAGGGACAGAGGACTGGTTGATGGACGCCATGTTGAGATGTGAACGGACGAGATCAAGATGGTTGGTGCTTTGATGGGCGAAGAAGCGGGTCGTCGGGGATTTTAGATGGACCGATTGACCTGATCAAGGGATTTTCCTGTTTTAACCCGCGCCCGGCACTAGAGACGACAGAGTGCGTGCACCCCACCGATCCATACAAGACTAACGAAGGCAAAACGAGCCTACTCCGCTCGTCCGATGAACGGGAAAGGAGTGGAGGGAAGCGATTTTCACTCTGGAAGAAAATGTCGTTTCGAGAACTCCAGTCTATCCCGGTAATGTCGTTAGTACGGTCTACTTTAGGCACTGCATCCCAGGCCTCTCGTACAACTCTATGTAGGGGGTTATAAGAGAGATCTTCATCATTAGGATAGTATTTTTAGATCCAATTTCATACTATCTTAATAGGATTCAAATTAGGCGAGAAAGGAGGCCAGAAAATAGGTCGAATTCCACGCTCCCTAAGCTCTATAGGAGTAGCAGCTACGTGTGTAGGCGCTGCTCCATCTTGCATAAGCGAAAACTCTATTATTACCTTTACAAGGGGGAAATAGCCATCTGTTAGAGGTATTATACCTCTCCGCGTTTATACTATTCTATTTCTTCTCATAGAATCAACATAGACCTTTACTAGATCCATGTTAGAACTCTCTTTGACGTGGAGGATCAGTACGAATATAATCCTCAAGGAGTTTGCCTTCGCCTAGAAAAAGTAATAAAGGCTATTATATCGTCCATATTTTTGTCTAATAGTTTAGGCTGTTAACTAAGTACTTCCCGAAGTGTTTGACCACCAGCCTAATATATATAATGGAACTGGCCATAGGTGATAGTCTTTAAATGGTCCACGATTTGTTGATATGAATAGCCTACTTCGCGCATAGTTAGAATGGTCAAAATAATCGATTTAAGCAGGCGGTAGGGAGCTCACTGCTTCAGAATTTAGCGTGTAAAGTGGGCCGTACTAACGAAATCACCTGGATAGACTGGAGTACTGAGTGTAGCCTTACCCGGACAAGGCCAATGGGGGCTTTCCTCTGCTCCGTTTCATGGTGAGACTCGGCCGGAGCATCTCTGAAAGTCTCCAAGTGGAGCCGTCTCATGCGACGCGCCCGCTGACATAGCCTTTGCCAGACTTTGCCTGGTGGGTTACGATCAATTGAAACTTCAAACTTCAATGTGCTTATTAGAGAAGTCGGTTCCCTCGCCAGCACATCCAATCGGCGCGTCTGCCGTGAGGCCAGTGCTGACTCAGTGCCACTGACTAACTAGCCCTGTGGGAGAGCAAGTGGGTCTTGCAGCCATTCCAATGAACCGCTGCATTATATTGGCTATGACCTGGTTGGTGCTGCACATAGCATAACCAAAGGACTCAAGGTATGGATCGGGCGATACAAGGATAATGGACGAGGATGAGGATGGTGGGCGAGGACGATAGTCGACAAACGCCAAAGGCTGAGCCATACATTAATCTCCATTGGCAGACATCTATTTACACCAGGGAGGGCCGAATAAGGGACAGACGGTCGGAAATTTTACTTCTCTTAATCTTCTCCCCCCCTTTCTCGTCTTTAACCCAACCATTATAACCCCAACCATTAGACCAAGCCACTACCGCCAGAATACCAGATGCCAAGAGACCCGTGAGGATCGCAAATTGCTCCGGCGCTGCCAGTACGGCCCCCATGGTGGACACCGTCAACATTGATCTCGAGTACAATATTTACCAACGTTGTCATAGGTGACCCGGCGTGCACATGTACGACCAGGCGAAGCACGGCCCCGTGGATGCGATCAAGGGCGACTATATCGCCGGTATATTGTTGGAGTCTCAAGCGATCACATGGATCCCTGTTATCTGCAATTGAAGGCGTTGCTAACGTCACTATCTCTTCGAAGAGGCTAGTCTGGCCAACCATGCGGTGGAAATCAAGAATTCGACGGGTCCCGGCTGGGTTCCAACAGCATGGGACGGGCTCCACCAGACTCCCGAGATCGCTGCGGAGAAACGCATTAAGATCGTGATCAACGGAGGCGCCATCATCCCAAGAGCACTAGCCGAGGAAACGCACAAGTTGATCAAGGAAAAGGGACTTGATTTGAGCGTCGCCTACGTCGATGGAGGCAACGTCATCCACAAGGCTCAGCGCATCCTCGAGGACATCAAATTCGGTGCTCTCACCCACCTGGATGGTCACAATGAGAACGTCCATCTGGCGAAGGACTCCTTGGGATTCTTGGATCCCCCCGAACCTATGCCGGTGGTCTGCGCGAATGCCTGCCTTGGCCACCGTGCAGTCAAGGCCGGTCTCGACCAAGGCGTAGACATCATGGAATGGCATTCCTACTGGAATCGAGAAATTGACCAAGCACATCGTGTGCGTTAACGGCTACTCGGGTGCTTATTTGGAGTAGGAGCAAGGCCCCAGCAAGCTTCTTTCCCTACCAACGGAGAGTTTCGATCACATCATGGGGAAGGTTCTCAGCAGGACAGAATGGTGAGAGGGCTGGCCGAGAGAGGCACGTGTTGGCTACCTGCTTTCCAGCCCCTCCCGTAGACGTCTAATGAGAAGCTTCAAGTACTACCCTGTGCTCCTTGAATACCATAACCACATTGAAACCATATTGATATTTTTACTTCATGTGCTTCACTCATGTACACCACCAGATTTGCGGTTTGAAAGGACTAATGGAAACAATGCTAACAGAGAAAACATTGCGCTGGAGTAGTGGTACACTTCCGTTGGCTTTGCATATTTTCCTACGCGTGCCCTTATTGTTGGACGCAAGGCAGTACTGATGGCTTCTGTAAGAGACCTTTGATATTCCAGGGCGGACTAGGTCCGTAGTCCAAAGTTAAACAAACAGTGGGACCTCCATTGGCATCCCTTTATGAGGTCTCAACGAATCAATGCCTGCTGAGATATGGCTTTCTGTGACAGGCTTCCGAGTGAAAAATATCAACATATCTCTATAAGCCTCTCTCGCGCTATCAACCGCATAAACTGGAGACAGACTATGCTTTAGCTCATGGTCTACAATCAGAATTGTATCCAAGAAGTGGCGATGTTGTGCATTGCCTCTAATCAACTCTGGCTTCGACTCATTCAGCCTGATTCCGGTAGTCTCGCGCATATCATGCAGAAAAGTCGCCGCGCTGTTCGGCGCCATATTGTCGCTTTTCAAAAATGTTGTCATGGTATGGTCGACTCCATCTGTATGCACGCCTTCAAGCGCTGGTTCGCCCAGCAGTGCGGGGGTGGTAACTGTGCGCAGCGCAAAGAGCGTACACACCCATTTATGTTGACCGTAATCCAGCCTTGGACGCATCTTTGTCATAACTCCATGGAACATAATGGCCTTGAAAACAAGGAGCGCTTGAAAGACTGTGTTAAGCTGGATGTCATTGCCTATCTCGTCGAAGACACGTATCATGTCGGAGTCATGCCGTACAAAGTCTTCTTCCGCGGAGAGCGCGAAGGGCTGGAATTCTAGGCGGCGGACAGAGCGGGTGTTAAGGTCGAAGCAGAACCGTCCGTTGCGGGATTTTCGAAAAGGGAGCGTTGGATCACCGATGTTGATGTCGTTTACGTCTTGTAGCGCACGGAAATCATCGTCTCGGGCGCCTAGGTGCTTCAAGATCGAGGCCATTACGCGCCCTTCGATGAAGATCGAGCGGTCTTTAATGTAGCTTTGTCGAAGTCTCATGATCTTTGAAATGCCCTTATAGAAATTTGGGTCCAGCATATGTGCGTTGATATTTAGTTGCGGTTTTGATACGGCAGCTGTGTTCTGCGCGCTGTATGATTGCCAACTGTATTCGGGGTCACTGGTCATGCCCGAGCAGGTTGAGAAACGGCTGTCATGCCTGCGTGAGGTAAGGATTCTTGATAGAGTTGGTTTTTTTGTGGCATGGGGAAGTAGGCGGTTGCTCAACAGATGTCGAGTGGCCTGGTTATAGGCAACAATGGCTGATGGCAGCATTCTATGATGAAAGTACGGGACTTGGATAAAAGAATCTGGGGTGCTAGGAATTCAGAAGTTTCGAAATAAAGTGAGTTGAACTTGCGTAGGCTAACAGCTGAGAATATCAGTAAGTGTCTTCAGACTTCATTTATTTGATCTTCCGCCCCAACTTCCACCTAATCCCCATACGCGCTGCAGCCTGGAGCTTAGAGAAGCTACAGCAAGCTGAAAATGTCTCCCCATGCTGTATCAGGCTGACGTGCATGTCCGTACAACTTGCAGTAGTCTGTTGTGTGGCGCACCTGAAGCGGGGACTCTCATTTTTGAGGATGGGAGTGCTCAGGGGCGCAAGACTAAGAAGAAGAGCCTATATACTTAGCAAAATAGATTGGACTCCCATGCAGTAGCCACCTGCGAGCGTAGGGGAGCATGCAGGGGCCATTTCAGGCGATTCGCTACGTCGCCGAACTTATGCAGGCAACAGAGCAGATCAGTACTTCTGTCATATCCAGTTAGCTGAGCCCAGGAAGGGCCCTCCGCGCAGATCCCGCCAGAATTGGAATGACTACATGGAATGACGCAACGAGTGCCAAGATAGCATAGGGGACACATTACGCTGCGGTGGGTGATATAGTGGTGGTTACTGTTTTTCAGTGTGGCTATGCGCCTTCGTTTTTGTCTTTTCAACATTTCAGGACTAAGAGCCTTAACCGGTTGATTGAATGATCGTCCAGGTCATTAATTTTCTACCCTTTTACACTAGAGTTCTCGCCGATGTCGAAGATGGTGGAGCCAACTGAATATCTTCCAATCCCGCCTGGATTGCCCCTCCTGCCATCGCGATCTCATATTCAATGTCAGGCTGTGCCTCTTCGTATAACCAATTCCGCTCTCCTGCAATGGCACTGTTGCTCCTCGCTAGACTGTCAGGAATGATGTGCTTGTTCAATGTGGGGTTGCCTGCGCAGGCAGACTCCACCCGCAACTGGATATCACAGCTACGATCTACCAGCCCCAAAAGAAACGAGGCCTCATCAACCGTCGAGCCCACGGTGATGAGACCATGATTGAGCAAAATGGCTGCCTTCCCTTTGCTTCCCAACATCGCCGCGATCTGCTGACCTTCCTGCTCCGCCGTGACAATTCCGCCGTACTCATTGCTTGCCACCAGTGCCCCATACAAGGTACAAACGTCCTGCGTAATCATGTCCAATGGTTTTCCAAACGCTGCCCACGCACGCCCAGCAACTGTGTGTGCATGACAGATAGCATGCACGTCTGGTCGAGCTTTGTGGATCTCGGAGTGGATGAAGAAACCAGGCGAGTTTGCGGGTCTGGTCTACCAAGAGGAGAACCAACTCATGAGCGTCATGGAAGTGTCAATCGGAGGGCTCAAATCTCAAAAGACTTACTTTATTTCCACCAACAATTGCTCCATTTGTGATATTGATACAGAGCATGTCGCTGGCGATCATCAGCCCGAAATGCTTCCCAATCGGGTTCATCCACATATATTCTGGATACTCGGGGTCTCGGACGCTGATGTGCCCCGAGATGCCCTCTATGAAGCCGACGCGCGCCCAGTTCCGGAATACGGCAGCCATATGTATCAAGATGTGTTTGCGATGCTCGTTAATGGATTTAAATTGGGGGATGCCTATAGTAACTATCAGCTTCCTTACGACATTTTCCAATTGGTTTACCTCCGTAACTTCCTTTTACTAAATGAGATATGAGAGACCAACTACCTTTAAGAGGATTTGGACCATGGCTCAAATGGTGAAGATGGCATTGCTCTGGATCGTGGTGCGCGGGACTTGAGGATGAGCTCGATGTGCTTGGTAGGGGACGTTGCTCATGAGACATCACTGTTTTCGAGAACGCCATTTCTGTTTGCAAGAAAGTTGTGGATAGCGACATTGCATTAAAAATTTGGACTTCTATGTCACGAGAAGTTTTATAGACCAAGAGGGCCAAATCATACGACTTGGAAGACGCGATTATTGTGGGGCAAAAAAAACGAGCTCACATCACCATCTGACCGATCACATTCTGCTTCGTCTGTAGCCAGTGACACTAGTATAGGTATAATGCAATGAACCCCTGGTAGGCAGCGCTATCTTTGCCAACTCATCCTGCATGGGGCTATTTATGCAAGACCTGCTTTTGCGCTTTGAAAGCATACAGCAACTGAGTGTGATGTAGACATGGGAGTTGCAGCTTGACTGCGATTTCAAAAAAAAGTAATGTCTTTACACACCCAGTTCATCTCCTCGTCTAAAAATGACCAGGGTTCCCTGCGGATCGCAGACAACGCCCAGCAGATAGCTACAAATAGGCGCCACAGTTTGATCCCCTGTATTATAAATCTCTGCCACCGTAAGCCGATTATTGGTGCCGAGGCTGCCAGTCGGACAGGTCACATGGTTTGATACAAAGTACGGTATGGATCGGTCTTCCATGTCTGTGTATGAATCCTTGTTCCAGAAGAAAAAAAAAAAAAAAAAAAAAAAGATCCAATATTGTCTGATCATAATTAGCGCTAAATTACATGACATAACCTGGCGTTGACCACTGTGCTTCCATCCGGTCACGTGGCCGACGATCTTGTCATACCGTATCTCCCCTTTGCCCTTCGACCTCGAGTGGGCGTTGGATGATCTGGACTCCAAGTGCTTCTTCTAGGAAAATGATCTTCGACTTGCATTACTAGACATTCGAGAGGATGGTATCAGTCATCTACCTGACGCTGCTTTGATTCTTTGTTCGATTTCAATCAGCACATGCGGCCTCCAGAAAATTCCTGGCTGATTTGAGACGAAGCTGGTTGCTTGGCGAGGAATTGCTATGGAGATCAGGAGAAAAATGAAAATAACCGGAGCAAGTACTCGTGCAGGTTGTGGGGAGACAGCACGTTAGTTCATCGTACGAGGATCTAGTCAGAGGAGCAAAGAGGAGGCATACTATATTTATCGACTTGAATATTACACTATTAACATGATCTCATGCTACCAAGATGTAACATTGTCCAGGAAGCGGGAGCCCACACGACTTGAAACATAGATATGGGGTGTCCTACCAGCCCACCCCTTTCTGCCTTTTTTGAGATGAAAGGATACTGCCATGCGTAAAAAACCCTCTAAAGGCTCAACGGAATAGGCATGCCTGGTCCAAATTGATTTTTCGGGTCCCATTGCTGCTTCAACTCCACTAGGCGAGGCAAGTTCCAAGCTCCATACCACACTTCCGGACCTTCATCGCCGTATGCCTCATTGACGTAGCTGTGATGGTTCTCGAATCCCATGACGGACTGGATCTCTGCTCGCGATGGCTGAATGAAGTCGTCCAGAATGCCGGCATACTTGGGGTCGTCAATATAGTTGACAAAGACCCTAAATCGATCAGTTTAGTTCTGCTCCTC